GGGCGGGGGCGTGGCCAAGCGGCGACGCACAGTGGAGGCGGGGCCTCCGTGATCGGGCGCGGTGGAGTGGGCGCTTCCTGGCTGCGGCGATGGCCGGGAGAGGGAAGCTGATCGCAGTCATCGGAGACGAGGACACCGTCACTGGTTTCCTGCTGGGCGGCATAGGGGAGCTTAACAAGAACCGCCACCCCAACTTCCTGGTGGTGGAGAAGGATACAACCATCAATGAGATCGAAGACACTTTCCGGTACGGGAGCCGCGAGGCCTTAGAGGGCCCTTCTGCCGGGGAGGGGGGAAAAGCGCGGGGAGACTGCGGCGGCGGCCTGGGGACCCAGGTGTCAGGCCCCTGGGGGAGTGCGGGCGAGGGGTGGCCCTTCGGAGCGGAGGCCTCCGCGCCCCAAGGTCCCGTTTGGGACTCGGCGCGACCGAAGCTGTGTCAGGCGCGCGCCCGAGCTCCCCGCCTCACATGATGGTGTGTCAGGACCGAAGGCAACAGAGCTCGTGACGGGCCCCGCCCCTCGGCCCACCCGCCCCCGCGCAGGTCCGGACGTCCAGAGCGTCCGCTGCCCGGCGCCGCCAGCCCCGGCGCCACTTTAGGGCCTCCTGGGGGGAGCTCGGCTGTCTTGCGGATTGCGGGATAAAGGAACCGCACACCCGACGAGCACCTAGGTGAGCTCGGGCTTTGTTGCATTTTCCTCTCCTTTAGAGGCGCACGGTCGTCCTGTAATCGTCTTACAAGTGAGAAAACTCAAGCCCAGAGAGGTTAAGGCACACACCCAGAGTCAGGAGTCTGCAGAGGCAGAGCTGGGATTCAAACCCAGTCTCCACCCTTTCTGCCTCTCTTAAGCCGAACACTGCAGCTCTCCTCGTCTGCCTGGGACTCTCCCTTTCATCTTGAGCACAGTAGGCAGGATATCAACACTATCTAACCTTCTGCCAAGATCTTAGGCTTTCTTTTTTTTTTTTTTCCCTGAAATATGTGACTCCTAGCTATTGGTTTGTTTGTTTGTTTGTTTTATAAAGATGTGGGATACAATTCAGGGTTAGGTATATAAACACTGATCATGCAGGGACGACGTTTTTGCACTTTCAAGTCCTTACTTCCTGCCCTGGGTCAAGGGCGGGTGCTCCACAGTATGGGTGTAAGTCTGCCTTTAATCCAGAAGGTGACCTGGTGACTAAAATTGAGGGTGTCAGTCTCCTGTTCCTTCCCTCGCCCCTTCTCTGGGACCCCGGGGCCAACCTCAGGAGCAAGCCACCCACCTGTTTCACCCTAAACAACCCAGTCCAGAGCTGCCGGCTGAGACAGGTTCCTGATGCCTGGTGTCTGGTAGGCCCTGGCATGGAAGGCTGTTATCTCTGATCTCTAAGCTGCCTGCTAAAGTGACCCAAGTTGTCATGAGAGAAGGACAAATTTTACTTCAAGAATTTTCCATGTTTCCAACCAAAAGGAACCTCGGTGAGCATCCTGTCTAACCTACCCCAGTTCCTGGCATGGGATAGGTGCTCAGTAAATGGTTTTTGTTTTTTTTTTTTTTATTTTTTGAGTTGGAGTCTCACTCTGTCGCCCAGACTGGAGTGCACTGGCCGCTCCCGGCCACCGCAACCTCAACCTGCTGGGCTCCGACGATCCTTCTGCCTCAGCCTTCCGAGTAGCCGGAATTACAGGCGCTCGCTACCACACCTGGCTAATTTTTTGATTTATTGTAGAGATGAGGTCTCGCCAAGTTGCCCAGGCGGGTCTCAAACCCGCGGGTTCAGGCAATCCACTCACCTCAGCCTCCCAAAGGCATGGGATTACAGGCCGAGCCACCAAGCCCGGCTAGTAAATGGTTTTTAACAAGTAAAGAAATAAATGAATGGGTGGGTTGGCACAAGAAAGAAGGATTGCAGGACTAGGTTCTGTCTGCAGAAAGTGTGATTCCTTCATTGCTGTTTTCTTTTTCTCTCCTGTGTTCTTGGCTCATTCAAACTTCCCCTCCACCCATCCCCTACATTCATCAGCAAAGACCTTGAGACCTTCAATGGTCTCATCAACCTTATTTAAAAAACAAACAAACAACTTGGAGGCAGGAGGATCGCTTGCACCCAGCAGTTCAAGGCTGTAGTGAGCTGTGATTGTGCCACTACACTCCAGCCTGGGCAACAGAGCAAGACCCTGTCTCTGAAAAAAAAAGAATTTGTTTTCTTTTTAAAAGTGAATGTGTTCATGTGGTTCTCAGATTAATATTTAAAAGGTTTACTGTGAGGAATCTCACTCCCACCTACATCCTTTCTCTCATAACTTCCTCTTCTTCCCCTATGCATAACCACTCCATTTCTTCCATATCCTTTTGGTATTTCTTTTTGCAAATACTAAAGGATGTGCATATATATACATGCATGTATATATTTTTATCATCTCCTTTCTTACACCAAGATAGCATATTTAATACACTGGACATATCCTAATTAATCTTCATTACCAGTTCCCTTGGAAGCCTTCCAGGCAGGGGAGGTAGAAGCCAGCGGGGATCAGCATGGCTTTGGCTTTGGAGTGAAATGGATTGTGGGGAGAGAGAGCTAGGTGTGGCAGCCTTTCCCCGTCCTCTGTCCTCTCTGGTCATGCTCACTCCCCTCTATAGCCCAGCCCAGCAGCTCAGGTTGGGTTGTGTGGGTGGGAGGGATACAGGAAGTCCTCAGAGCTGTCCTGGACACCCTTCTCTTCTCCACCCACAGGCAGTTTCTAAACCGGGATGACATTGGCATCATCCTCATCAACCAGTACATCGCGGAGATGGTACGACACGCCCTGGACGCCCACCAGCGCTCCATCCCGGCCGTCCTGGAGATCCCATCCAAGGAGCACCCTTACGATGCCGCGAAGGACTCCATCCTACGCAGGGCCAGGGGCATGTTCACTGCAGAGGACCTGCGCTAGGGCGCGCCCACAGTCTCTCCCTCAACTCCAAACCTCTCCACAGCCTTGCTACCAGTCCTTCTCTAAGTTTTGAGCCTCTGATATCCAATTCCCCGCCCCTTCCGACTCCACCGAGAGGCTTCTAGGTTGTTAAAATCCAGGCTGGTTAGGGGCAGGAAGCCTGACTGTCTCCTCTCTCCACTACCTCGTCCCTGTGCTGTTACACAGTGTCATTGTCGATGTTAAATTAAAGTAATATTCTTTCTTCTCTCCAACTGGGCCTGGATGCTGGATAGAATGCGTGCATGGTGAAGCTGTCAGGAAAAATTAGGTTGGCAAGGATGGAAAAGGTTCTGCCAGTGACCTAGGTATAGAACAGCAGGGCCAGAAAGATTGTGCCAGGAGGCCCTAGCTAAGAACTGTCCTCTGGCTAAAAGAAGACCAGCTCTGGAGGGTGGGAAGGATGGGAGGAGGCTTGAGCTCAGCCTCTGGCTCCCCCCCCTCGGTCTGCTTTGGGCTGGGAGGGGGGCTGTCCCAAGGGATGGACGCAGAAAGCACGGAGACCTCATTGCCTGTGATACTAGACCCAGCCCGGGTCCTGTGGAGGCTCGGGGACCACAGCTCTTGACCACAGCCCTGGCCCCAGCAGTCTCCGGAGGTGGAACCCTGGCCCTGTGTGAGGTGAGGCTTGGTTGCCAGGTGACTGTGCCAGGGCAGCCCCCACTGGCAGCAGCACTCTGCTTGCTGTGCTCCCCCTTCAGCCGCAGCCACCCTGGTGCGGCTCCTACTCTTGCCACCATGTCGCGGCAACTCAACATGGACACGCTGCGGCAAAACTTCTGGAAGGAGGAGTATCTGCGGGAGAAGATGCTGCGCTGTGAATGGCACCGCAAGTATGGGTCGGTGGTGAAGGCCAAGCAGAAGGCCAAGGCTGCAGCCCGCCTGCCTCTCAAACTGCCCACCCTGCCTCCCAAAGCCCCACCCTCTTCCCCACCTGCCCCCGAAGCAGTCCCTTCCAAGGCCCCTAGCGCCGTGCCCGAGGCTCCTTTTCAATCAGAAATGTACCCAGTTCCACCTGCCACCCGGGCCCTGCTGTACGAAGGCATCTCCCACGACCTCCAGGGCCGCTATCGCTACCTCAGCACCCGGAAGCTGGACATGCCAGAGACCCGCTACGTTTTTCCCGTCACCACCAACTTCATGTATGGCTGGCAGCTGGGTGAGCCCTACCTCTCGGAAACGGGCCACCTCGCAAACAGTGCACCTGCTGTGTACCAGCGACATTCGAGTGGAGGGTCTACACCATGAAGGGCCAAGTTTCTTGGAACTAGGGGGTGACGGGGAGGGGCAGAGAAGCAGGTGCTTGTGCTGGTGGCGACTGTTATGACAGGAAAGGCCTTTCTGAGGGTCCAAGGCTGAGAGCCAAGTGAAAAGAGGGAGGGGCTCGGGTTTTAGTACCAGGGGAAGGCAGTGGAAGGTTCTAAGCAGGTTTTAAGAGTGACACTTTTTAAAAAAAAAGTCACCCTGACTGTTCTGTAGCCAGTGGCTTTTTCAGGGGAATGTGTGGGGTTGGGCAGGTGAGTAAGGCATCACCTTGAGTTGCCTGCGACAGTGGCTGGGGGGATGGGGTGTGAGCAGTAGAGCCAAAGTGGATTCAGGATGTTTGGGAAGCTGCTGTGTCTAAGTCTGGCCCTTATGAGCGAGGTCAGAGCTGAAGATGAAAATCTGGAAGTTGATAGAATATTGAGAGGTGCTATTTAAAGCCCTGAGGCTGATCACCTGGGGAGCTCAAGTTGCAGAAATCTAACTGGAGGGGCAGCAGAGGGGTGGAGCCAGGGGCGCACAGGAGATGGTGTGGGCCGGAAGGCTGTCCACCTGGGCTGGGTCAAGGCCATTAGTAACCAGAGCTTGGGTAGTGTGAAAAGAATAAGCCTGCTAGTGCTGGTGAGCCATGCTGCAGCTCCCTTTGGCATCTCTTGAATTACTTTTTTTTTTTTTGAGTTGGAGTATCACTCTGTCACCCAGACTGGAGTGCAGTGGCTGCTCCCAGCCACTGCAGCCTCGACCTGCTGGGCTCCAGGGATCCTTCCGCCTCAGCCTTCCAAGTAGCCGGAACTACAGGCGTGCACTACCACCCCGACTAATTTTTGATTTATTGTAGAGATGAGGTCTCGCCAAGTTGTCCAGGTGGGTCTCGAAACTGTGGGCTCAGGCAATCCACTCACCTCAGCCTCCCAAGGCGCGGGATTACAGGCTGAGCCACCGAACCTGGCTCATCTCTTGAATTTCAAGAGGGATTCCTCAGCCATGTCCTCCAGCTGCCTGAGTGTCTTGTAGAAAAGGTCAACTTAAGATTTGGCCCCGAAACTTCCTTCTTTTCCCCAGGGCCCTAAGAGGGAAGTCAAGGAAGCGATTATTTAACAAAGCAGGTGGTGCCCTAGAAGGAGAAGCAGGAAGCACTGAAGCCCCTATGCCTCAGAAGCACTTTTTATTTCTTCCCACAAAGTGGCTACAGCAGGGGCAAGTTCCCAGGGCTTTGAAGACGGGCAGGGCTCCCACCTTTGTGCCCTGGGTCCTTCCCTGGAAACCCACTCCTGGCCTCCGGTGTCTCTTCCCAGGCCCCCCAGTGAAGCAAGAACTGGTCTCCTGCAAGATGTGCCGCATCGAGTCCTTCTTCCGCAAGAATGGGGCCTTCGCGCTGCTCGATCCGTGGGACCTGGCCCTCTGACCTTGGGCCAGGCGGTGGGCAGAGCCGGGGGAAGAAATAACAGACCTCCTGTGGGCGAAGCTGCCGTGTGCGTCTGTGCTCTCTGCCCTCCAACACCGAGGCTGCATCCGCGTCTTTCTGGAACTCCCTCTGACCTGCAGTTGCCCTCATGCTTCTTCCTTGACCCCCATCCCGTTAATCGTGCCTTGAAGGATCCAGCAATGACCGGAGGGAGCTGGGAAGGGCGAGCGCTACTCCCCGGGCGCAGGCTGCTCAGCGCCCGAGGGCCACAGCAGCCCCTGGAAGTTCTGGGTGTTCCTGGCGAGAGCGTGGCCTATCATCCTGGATGCCGAGAAAGGCGAGACCCCTCCCACCGCCACACGCCTCTCTGCCCGCCCCTCACCTGGCCCCAAGGGCTCTCAGCCGCCCGGTCCTCTCCCGGTGCACCTGTTCCAGCTGCTCTCGCAGG